CCTTCTTCTCGTCTCCCCCCTCCTCCTCCTCCTCCTCCGTCTCCCCCCCTCCTCCTCCTCCTCCGTCTCCCCCCTCCTCCTCCTCCTCCGTCTCCTCCTCCTCCGTCTCCTCCTCCTCCTCCTCCTCCTCCTCCTCCTCCTTCTTTTCCTCCTCCTCCTCCTCCGAGACGGGGCTCTCGCTGGACCCTTCCTCGACGTTTCGGCTCTGCGATCTCTCCTCTTCGCATCTACGAGTGCAGTGCGGTGCGGCTACTACACCTTAGGCGATGCTTAAGAAAACTTCAATTTTCGGCCAGAGTCTCGATTATTCTTAATGTTTCAGTGTAAATCCTAAGATTTGAATGGAAACTTTAGGTTTTTATTCAAGTTCTGAGACTATGAATTTCTTAACCCATGATTTCTTAAGCATTTCGCAGGGTGTATTTCACCTCGGATGCCTGGCGGGCCAAGCTCTCAACAGCACGCAGGGCCCCTCGCAGATCTCTCCACAGGAGCGAGAGCTGGAGGCTGCTCGGCAAGGGGCTCCGCCCCGGTGAAGAGTGGGGTCGCGGCCGAGCCGGAGTGTTGCGTGCCCCACTGGGGCTCTCTGGCGGTCGATGCCAACAGCATTCCACTGCAGCTCCTCCTCCGCCTCCTCCTCCTGAATTGCCCCGAGGGGCCCCTCCCGTAGGGGAGGGGTCGGGACCCTAGGGTCCTCCTGGCGCAGGCGGGGAGCGCCGGGCCCGAGGGGCGAAAATCCCCCGCACCCCGGGGGACGCCGCCAAAGTGCGGTTTCCTTCCCCCGGGGGGGTCGCCAGGCCCCGTGGCCTCCCCCAGGGCGGTGCTGGGTCCCCCCCAGCGCTCGCCGCCCTGGGGCGGGGCTGGCGGCTCGTCTCTGTCGTGTCGCTCGTCCGTGTCGTGTCGTTCGTGTCGCGTCGTTCGTTTCGTCCCCCCGTCGTGTCGCGTCGTGTCGTGGTCCCCTTTTTCTTTTTTCTTTTTTGGTTCGGTCCCGGGGGTCCCTGGGTCCGAAACCGCGGCCACCTATGGAGTAGGTGGTGGGTAGGATGGGCGTCGGAGCACGTGCTCCGGCGCCCCCTACCCCGATCAGGGTACGCGGAGCACGGTCTCCTTTTTTGCGTTCCCTGGTCGCGCCGTGAGCGCGCCACGGGGGCATGGCCCCGACGGTGGCGCGGGCTGAGTGTGCCTTGCGCATGCCGCGGAAGCTTCAGTGCTCAAAAAAAAATCCTCCTCCTGAATTGCAGGGTGGGCACGGGGTTCTCGCCTAAATTCCAGGGTGGCACCCCGCGGAGTCGCAGGCGAGAGCGGCGGCATTTTCGTCGTGCTCCACGCGCCGGTCCAGCTGCCCGGACCCGTGAGGCCGGCCACGCGTGCTCACCTCTCCCCCGCGCAGCGCTGGCCGTGGAGCGGCGAGTTGCCACGACGCTTGGCGTCCACTCCTCACTCCTCCTCCTCCTCCTCCTCCTCCTCCTCCTCCTCCTCCTCCTCCTCCTCCTGCTCCTCCTCCTCCTCCTCCTCCTCCAGGGTGTTTCTTGGCGTGGGCCTCCACTGCACCTGGCCCACAGACGGCCCACAGGAGGCTTCCCCGCCCTGTCGATGGGGCGGCGCACGATCCCCTCCTCCTCTCGCCAGCCGAGGAGTCCTCCGCTCATTCTTCAATCGAGCCTCGGCCAGAAGCTCGGCGCCAGGAGGAGGAGGGTGAGGGATAGGAGCAGCAGGAGGAGGAGGAGGAGGAGGAGGAGGAGGAGGAGGAGGAGGAGGAAGGGATGAGGAGGATGAGGAGGAGGAGGAGGAGGAGGAGGAGGAGGAGGAGGAGGAAGGGAGGAGGAGGGATGTAGTAACGGATGAGGAGTAGGGGAGGAGGATGGGGCACGAATGGCGGGGGGGATGAGCAGTGGGAAGGAGGCTCGTGATGCTGTGATGGTTTGGCCGGACGCGCCAGGTCATCAAGCAGGTGCCGAGGGTCGAGGTCCGAGAGGTTGTCAAGGATGTGCCTGTCTACCAGACCCAGACGGCCTCCTCCTCAGCGTCCTCCTCGTCCTTCTTCTCTCCCCCCTGCATCTCCCTCTCGGCCCCTGGCGCTGGCATGAGGTCGAGCCTTGTCCGAACTGGACCTGCCACCTCTGGGTTCGTCCGCTTGGTGGTGGCGCAACGGCCCGCACGCCCCCTCTCCACCTCCCTTCCAGATTCTGCCATTCCTGCTGCTGCGTCACTCCGTCCCTGTCTTCATCCTCCCCCCCTTCCTGCTTTCTCCTCCCGTTGCCTTCCTCCCCGCTCCTGCTTCTCCCCTCCCGTCCTCCTCTGTAGCCTCTTCCTACTCCCGGCCACCTCCTCTGCCTCATGCCCCTGTTGCTGCTCTTGCTGATGCTGTTGCTCCTGCAGCTGCTTTTGCCTCCAGCGTCGCGCAGTACGCGGCGGCCACCTCGTCCGGCCAACACCGCTGCCCAGAGTACCTGAAAGCTGGCCGCCCGAACCCATCGCATGATGTTGTCGTGCTCTCGAAGTTTGATCGGCACTCGAAGAAAGACTGCATACTGTGGGGGGCCATGCCAAGAAACACCCTGTTTGCCTCCAGGGTGCCCTGGGTTTCTTGTGCTTCGATGGTTTCGCCATGGAAAGCGCGACGCTCCCACACCAAAAAACCACGGACGTCCTCAGGCCAGCCACAACTGGGGGAGCTGTGGTCCTTACCCCCATGGGGACCCATCGATTCCGACACCCCTCTCGAGAGATCGTCGATGCGATGGGTTCCCCCAGGGGGGGTGAGGACCTTTGTGGGCCCCGGAAACGGCAGGGCCTTTTTTTCACCGCTTTCAAAAAAAAAGTGTCCCTTAAAAATGGAAACGGCAAAAAAAACAGCGACCGGAAACGGCAAAAAAACGGCTCCAGGAGTGGAACCGGAGCCGGAACCGGTCAAAAAACGGCGACGGAACCGGTAAAAAAACGGCGTTGGAACCGGCAACAAAAACAGCAAAACGGAACCGGTAAAAGAACGGCCCTGTCGTTTCCAGGGCCCACTACGGTGAGGACCGCAGCTCCCCCAGTCATGGCTGGTCGGCGTCCTGGGGTCTCCGGGCTGGGCTTCCCGTGGAAGGTCTCTTGTGCACGGGCCGCCACTGGTACAGTCGGGGCCCTGAAGAAGGAACCCTTTTCGTTGAGGAGGGGCTCCGTGTTCCTTAATCGTGTCGCAGTTTGCCTTGGGTTGTCCTCAGGCTTTCGATGGGAGATCGAAGCTTAACTTGTGGAAAAAAGGGGCCTCGTTCCTTATTTTGGGTTCCTCAGGTCAGCGCCCCGACTGTAAGCATGAGCTCCTGGTGCGCCGCACGGTGTTCTCGGACCGGCGCGCCGGGCCCCCCCTTGGCGACGCCGCCGGCGCCAGGGGGGCTTTCAGCGCAGATCCAGGACATCCTTCGGGAGGGAAAGAAGCACACAGGCACAAGTAATCGTCGACTCCCAGAAAAAATATGGGAAAATGTGGGAAGTGGGGGGGGGAGACAAAAACCCGGAAAGCATTGGAAAATGTGGGGGGATCCTTCTGTTTGTGTGTATTTATTTGTGTGTCCCAGTTCCCCTTCAATCCTCGCGGTTGCCGGAAGGCTTCTGCTCATGCTGTTGCGTCTTCTTCTGCATCTGCTCAAGTCGGGCGTGGCCCTCTGCAGGAGGAATCTTCGAAGATTGTCAAAAAATAGTCCGGGGACGATTGTTGGAGCATTTGTTTTGATTATTCTTGAGCATGCTTTGACTACGGTCTGTTTTTCGTCCAAAATCTGCCTGTAGGGGGACATGCCCGACCTTCGATTTTGCGCTTCGGAGACGGCTGTCAGATTTGTGCCCAGAGTGGGCCACGGCACGAGTAGCCAGGACGAGTGCAGCTGGGGCCAGCACCCACGGGGATCGTGCTAACTGGGCCAGCCAATCCCCTCCGGATCCTCTGATTAGCGAGGACGTGGGAGCAATTCGGACCCGACCCCCCCGCCTTCCCCTCCCTCCACCCCTGACCCGGGTTTGGGAGCTTGTGTGGCCAGCTGGGATTCGCGACGTGTCCTGGATGACCTCTGTGAGCGCTGACCCGGGTGAGCGCGTCCCCCGATGCAGACCGATCTTCATCTCCTCGTGGGTCCTGCACACCCAGAGGATGCCGGCTTCAGTGACCAGGGGAATCGGCGCCAGTCTAGAATTGTTGCCAATGGGAGACTTGCCATCGCCGTTGTCGTTCGTGCTGCGAACGCTACTCGGGTATACTGCTCATGAGGCGCCCGTCAAGAAAGAGGGAGGGCCAGCGAACACGCACATTCCGGAGGCCGCCACTAGGCAATCAAATACCAAAATTTCGTTCCTCCTCCTCCTCCTCCTCCTCCTCCTCCTCCCTCCTCCTTCTCCCCCTCCTCCTCCTCCCCCTCCTCCTTCTCCCCCTCCCCTCCTCCTCCTCCTTCTCCTCCTCCTCCTCCTCCTCCTCCTCCTCCTCCAAAGTGAAGAGCGCTGCAGCTGCCGACCCAGCACCGCTGGAGACTCGGCCTCGAGCGCAGCCCGTGCCCTTCTGCGGCGCTGGTCGTCTCCCGTTGCTCCCGCCGCTGCCGTCAGTCTTCTTCTCGGCCGTGTGCGGGCGATTCGGAGACACGCGTCTCGCCCAGAGTATTGTCACTGCTCCTCATCATCATCCTCCTCCTCCTCGCGAGTCGGCGGCTGCCCCCCTTGGGCGAGCGGGATCCTCCTCCTCCTCCTCCTCCTCCTCCTCCTCCTCCTCCTCCGCATTCTCCTCCTCTTCCTCCTTCCACCCACCGGCTCGAAGCACAGATTTAGTGCAGCAAGTTTCAGCGCAGTTTGCCTCCCCCCCCATCCCGCCCTGGACCCCCTAGGACAACATGTGCAAACCCCCAAGATGCACCCAGAACCTCCTTCTCCTTCTCTCCTTCTCTCATCCTCCCCATGCTTCCATGATCCTCCTCTACCCCTCCTCCCCCCCCTCCTGCTCCTCCTTCCTCCTCCTGCTCGCCCTCCTTCTCCCCCCTCCCCCCTCCTGCTTCTCATCCAGCTCCTCCTGCTCCCGAGGCCTCTGGCCGTTCGCGCCCACGGCCCGACCCCGAGGGGCGGGGACGCGCGGGCGCAACAACAAAGCAGCAGAGCGAGGGGGGAGGCGAGCCGCGCGGCTCGCGAGGGCGAGCTGCTCCGCTGCAGCGGCCGAGGTCGAGAAGATCGTGCAGGTGCCGCAGATCGTTGAGGTGGAGAAGGCAAGCCCTGGGAGGGCAGGGCTTGGGCATCGCTCGGACGTGTGCATCTTCTCTCGGCGAAGACCTTTTAGTGGGCCCTGGAAACGACAGGGCCGTTTTTTTACCGGTTCCGTTTTGCCGTTTTTGTTGCAGGTTCCGACGCCGTTGTTTCACAAATTCCGTCGCCGTTTTTTGACCGGTTCCGGCTCCGGTTCCAATCTTGGAGCCGTTTTTCCGCCGTGTCCGGTCGCCGTTTTTTTTTGCCGTTTCCATTTTCAAGGGGCATTTTTTTGGAAACGGTGAAAAAACGGCCCTGCCGTTTCCGGGGCCCACAGAGGCGAAGACCATCGAAGAGCATCCTCGAGCATCGCGCAACAACAGAACGCACGAGCACGAAACACGCACAGGGGAATGGACGTCCGAGCGATGGCCAGGCGTGTGGGGTGGGGGGAGGGAGGAGGCGGAGGAGGTGGAGGACCGGTGTAAGCCCAAGGCGCGTCACCGTTGCTACAAGAAACCCACCCTCCGAGTTCCCTTCTTCACAGGCCCCTACCAGAATTCAGTTTCCTTTCGGGAAATGCCCCATGGGAAGACAACCGTCTGTGCGTCCTGGCAGTCCTAAACGCCTGAACGCCATCCCTAGGACTTCAGCCCTGCGAACTCTTCAAGCTGTTGCAAACTTTCAACAGGAATGCGCGGAGAGCCACATGCTGAAGAGGAACCGCTCTCCACCTGTCAAGCTTTGGGGAACTTTGAGACGAATGTGCGCGGCGCTCAAGCGAGAGCCACATCTCGAGAAGGAACCGAGCTCCAGCCGTGAAGTTGCTGCAACCTCTAAGGGCGAAGGTGCTCGGCGCGTAGGCGAGAACCACATCTCGAAACGGGGCCGCCTCCATCCGTGAAGTGCTGCGAGCTGCAAAGATGAACGTTCGCGGCGCTGAGGCGAGAGCCACACCTTGACAACGGCCCGCGCTTCAGCCGTGAAAGTGTTGCAGCCGTCAAGCTGCAGTATCCGAAATGGTGAGGAAGTCTCGGGCGAAATGCCCGGCCTGCCCTACCGACACGTTTGAGGGTGCGACAGGGAGATGTCGTTTATTTGCAGAAGGGATGGAGGAGAAGGAGGAGGAAGAAGGAGGAGGAGGAGCAGGAGAAGAGAAGGAAGAGGAAGGGGAGGAGGAGGAGGAGGAGGAGGAGGAGGAGGAGGAGGAGGAGGAGGAGGAGGGGTGGCAAGGCTTCGAGCTCCGCACGGACAGCCCCACCAGGCAGTCCTGGCTGGTCCCGACAGGCCCCCCCCCGAGTAGTCCAGGGCGGTCTTCACCCCCCTGGCGCCGCCTCTGGCGGCGCCCCTGGGGCGTTCTGCGCCCCGTGGCTGGGGGCTGGGGGGGTGAGACCGCCCAGGACTTCCTTCAGGAGGGGAAAAAAACACACAGACACAATTAATCGTCGATCCCTGGGAAAATATGGGAAAATATGGGAAGTGGGGGGGAAGACAAACACCCAGAACGTATGGGAAAATATGGGGACTCCTGTTATTTGTGTGCATTTATCTGTGTGTCCCAGGGCTCCTTCATACTTGGGGGTCTGTTGAGGCCAGCCAGACTGTATCTCCGGGGGCTGTCATTGCGCAGCCCGAAGCTGCATCGGAGGCGGACGAGGAGGAGGAGGAGGAGGAGGAGGCGGAGGAGAAAGGTTGGAGGAGTCGAAGAAGAAACAGCCACATAACACACAAACTTTCGGAGATCCGCGCGGATTTCTTGCATCTGCGCTGAGCCCCCTGGCGGCTTCTCTTTCGCCGTTGTTGGCGCGCTCCGCGCGCCAGGGAGGGGGCCCCGGCGCCGATCCAAGAAATCCGCGCGGAGCTCCGATGGTTTATGTTTACGCAGTGTGTTCTTCTCCTAGATGAGGTGGGCCACAGCTTTGCACCGCTATCGTATGAACCCATTTCCTGTCCCGCGCTTCATGCGCCGCATACTGTTTTTTTGCGCGATTGCTGCGGCTGTTGCGCGCCTCACAATTTGCTCTGCTCGAGTGCGGACGCAACGACTGTGTGGCAAAAGCCCTGGCCAGGTAGAAATGAGCAGCGCGGGGACGGGAAGAATCAGGAGGGGGGGTTAAGACTGTTCCTGGGAGGAGTGAGAGGAGGAGGAGGAGGAGGAGGAGGAGGACGAGGACGAGGACGAGGACGAGGACGAGGACGAGGACGAGGACGAGGAGGAGGATGATGCTGATGATGATGCTGATGCTGATGCTGATGATGATGAGGAGAGGAGGACAAAGATGATGAGGAGGAACCATTTTAAAATAGTGATGAGGATGAGCAGCAGGATGATCTATTGGATGTTTGCAGGTTTGATGCAGGAATCGGGCAGGAATGTGTGTGCCCAAGACAGATGGCAGGACAATTAATTTGGAGAGCATGATTTGGGATCCTGGGCGAAGGACGAATCTCGAGCTGGGAGAGAACATGGCATCGCATTCTAGCACAGTGCTTAGGTTTTAGGTTTGAGCTACTAATTATGCTTGCCAACGGGGGACACGACGTCGGCGGCAAGCGCAATGGCAAGGAAGGGGAGAAGGGTGAAGATGCGAAGGAGGAGGAGGAGGAGGAAGAGGAGGAGCAGCGGAAGCCGAATGAGACAGACGAACCCGTTGATGAGGATGAGGACCCAGAGGACGAAGAGGATTGTGAAGGACAGGGGCGCTCAGCAGGAGGCGGAGCAGGGAGCAAGCAGGAGGCGGAGCAGCCGACCGGAGACGCGGGGATAATCGGGGGCAGGCCCCCCTCGCGCTCCCGACAGGTCGTCCACGTGCCACAGGTGCAGGTGGTGGAGGTCATCAAGCAGGTCCCGGTGTACCAGGACATGGAGGAGGTCCGGGAGGCGGGCCTCCTCCCCTCGCGCCCTCCTGCAGCGCGCGCGCGGAGAGGGAGAGGGGTCGGCCTGTGGCCGGAGCGCTGGCCATGCTGAGGGGCCTTGCAGCAGCAGTCCGCGCCTGTTTCAAGGCGAAGTAAAGCTGGGGGGCCTGCAGGTGCGAACGCCGTGCACCATTGGGACAGAACAGAAACTCGCGCCAGGGGAGACCAATCAGACGCTCCTGCATAGACTGGAACTGCCGTGCGGTGGTGGTGGGCGGTAATGAAAGGTGAGGATTGTGGTTCTTTGTGCTCTCTAGTTTCTATCCGGTGCCTCGAACTCTGGAGTATTCGCTGTCTACTCCACGTGCTAGCTGCATTATGCGCTCTGCTGGATGCTCTGTACTGGCGGCTATGTACTGCCTGGTGCCGCCTGCTCTCTGCTCTGTGCCTCCCTGATCTCTTTACTCTCACGACTTCCTCCCCTCTACTCTCGTAAGTACCCTTCTCTCTGTCTCTGTCTCTCTCTCTCCCTTTCTCTGTCGCTCTCTCTCTCTCTCTCCGCTCTTTTACTTTCTCGATCTTCTATTTTGGGAATCAGGGAGCGCATCCACCCACTGTAGTTGGCGGGAAAGTGCCATTAAGACCCAGAATTAGGAAGCAGTTGTTTTGGCCAACTACGTCATATCTGCATATGTACGTTGGGAATCCAGGACATGGAATTGGCAGCATGGGAACCATGTCGCCCTCGAGAATCGGGTCGACGTTTTCGCCAGATCCTTCGATCTCCGCGCGGGTTGATTGGGACAAGTTCGTGCGGACCCTTTCAGTGCAAGCATTGAGTGCGGAATGATATCAGCGCAGGTGTTTCCTTTGTTGGGGCAAGTTTGCACCAGGGCTGGACCTAAACGGTGTTTTGGCGATTTCGTGGGCCGTGTTCGTTTCGATTCCGTTTTGCGGTAAAGGCGGATTGAAGACAAAACGAGGGAAAACGAACACAAATCGAAAACGAAAAACACCGTTTAGGTTCAGCCCTGGTTTGCACTGTGTCAGTTGTAAGTGGCTATTGCGTTATGCTGCACGCTTGTCAAGATAACATCGTCGAGCTGCGGCCCGCGCAGACAAGACGAGTCTCATACCTCCCCTGGCGTAAGCACGAGGTCACCAATTTCAATGAGCGCGGGTTGCTACTCCTCCCTCCTCCCTCCTCACGTCTCCTCCGCTCCCCCCAAAGCAGAGCCGCCCCTCCCAGGGCCTCCATAAAGGGAACAAAAAGTGACATAAACATAAAAACTCGGAGGTCCGCGCGGATTTCTCGGATCGGCGCTGGGGCCCCCCGGCGGCGCCTCCGACGCCGCCCCTGGCGCGCTCCGCGCGCCAGGGAGGGGGGTCCAGCGCCGATCCGAGAAAACCGCGCGGACCTCCGAGTTTTTATGTTTAGGTCGCTTTTTGTTCCCCTACTCCAGGGGGCAAGATTCATGTCCATATCCAGTGCCTCTTGGACTTTGTTTTGAGCACCCCCGCACCACACCCCCCGCACCCCCCGCACCACACGCGGGCCCGAGCAGGACCCACTCCTCCTGGGGTGCCTGCCAGACGCGTGGAGCACTCGACCCCGCCTCCCCTCGGCGGGTGTCTGGCACGCCAAGAGCCGCCGCTCCTCCTCCTCCTCCTTCCTCCTCCTTCCTCCTCCTCCTCCTCCTCCTCCCTCCTCGCTCCTCCTCCTCCTCCTCCTCCTCCTCCTCCTCCTCCTCTCCTCCTCCTCCTCCTCCTCCTCCCCCTCCTCCCCCTCCTCCTCCTCCTCCTCCTCCTCCTCCTCCTCTTCCTACTCCTCCTCCTCCTCATCCTCCTCCTCCTCCTCCTCCTCCTCCTCCTCCTCCTCCTCCTCCTCCCCCCCCTCTGGTGAGCCCAGCGCCCGCAGAAGGCACTCGTAAACCACCATCATCATTAATATGTCTGGGGGCCCACTCCGATCGTTCCCATCCGATTCGATATCGTTTTCGGCTGGCCCGATCGGACTCGGATCCGATATTCTGACGATCCGATGCGGCCGGATGCTCGCATGGCGCTGGCATGCATCTTGGCGCAGCTGATCCGATTCGATTCCCACTCCGCGCCGAGGCAGCCCGATCCGACGCATATTCCGACTCGATCCGATCTCGCGGTTCGATGCTGACTGATCCTGTATGTTTGACCAGCTGGCCGGGAATGTGGTGGTGTACAGAGGCTTTCTGCGCATCCTTTGGCGTCGGCGTCGGGAAATCCAGAGCCGTCGCAACGTGCCACTGCCGCAAGTCTTGGAGCCCCCCTGCACTGTCCAGCGAGGTGCCTCCCCACTCGGGGATCCCAAATGACACGCCGCTTCCACAGGCGCTGCCGCACGTGTCGCCGTTCTGCCCCCGCGGGGCTCCAGCGGAGGGGCCCCCCGTGTCGCCTCCCCGCCCTCCCCGCACGGACATGCCAAAAACCTCGCTTGCCGCCAGTTCCTGAGCCATGGGGAGTTCAGCAGAACGCCCCCTCCACCCCCCTAGGGTTAAATCGGGCATGTCCCTCTACAGGAGGGATATCCCAAAATAGTCAAAACATAATCGGGGGATATTGTTTTAAAAGCATGTGTGAACATTTTGTGCGTGTTGTTTGTGTAGTTTTATTGTTTCGCCCAAAATCCCCCTGTAGGGGGACAGGCCCGACCTAATCCTAGGGGTCCTCGGGGAGGTCAGATGCCAGAACGAGGCCGCGCCTTCCTGAGCGCTGCCAGGTGCAGAAAATGCCACCACTTCCCGAGACCCACTTGGGAAGTCCAGCAGAGCGCTGCTTTCTGCGGGCATCCAGGCTAGACATCGCCTCCCCTGTGCGTTGCCGAACGCAGACGCGTCGCTGGTTTCTGGGCTCCAAGGGAGTCCACGCCGCAAAGATGTCCAAACCAGGTTCCGTTTTCCTGAGCACTGGAAGATTAGAGCCATCTCCACGTCCGAAGCCTCTGTCGAGTCCAGCAGCGCGTCATACCGAAGCAATACCTTGCCCCCCAGGGTGCTGCCAAACGCTGGCATGATACAACTTTTTCAAACCCCTGGGAGGTCCAGCGCAGTGGCCCCCCACGGGCATCCAAACTTGACCTAGCGTTCCCGGGGCCGTCAAACGCCGTATTCGGGTTAGGTATTCCCGCTTATCCCACCCTTCCCTCGCGTTGGCTTTGCTTCCGCACGCCTTCGTCTTCTGAGGCATTGTTGCTCGCAGCTGAGCCTTCTCCCTCTTCCGTCGCGGCTGCGCCTTTTCCCCTTTTTCCCTAGGTGCCTTCGCCTTTAACCGTAGCCAGATGCACACCTGCATCACCTGGGTCCTCTGGGGGAAAGGGTAGGGCATGGCCTCGAGCGATCACGAACCTGCCGACCTGCCGAAGACGCCCGTGCGCATCCTCCGCGAGCCGCGGAGGGGCCCTTCGCGTCGGGCGGCTCGCAGGAGGCCTCCTCGGGGAGCCCGCCTCCTCCTCTCCTGCGGCTCCCGCCCGTGCTGCTGCTGCTCCTCCCCCGTCCTCCCCGCCCCACTCCGCAGCCAAGCCGGCTCGGCGGTCCGCGCGGCGCGAGGCCGGGGGGGCCGACTGTGCCGCGGCGCGTGCCCGGCCCGACCACATGGGGATCACCGAGCTCATCGAGTCGCGCGCCCCGGAGAGGCATCAGGGGCAGCGATAGGGGGGGGACAGGCGCAGGGGGGGATGCATCGAAGCGTGGGGGATCGCCCACTGGTCGCCGATAGGGGCCCGACAGCCCAAACCTGCCCAGGAAGGTTCGGATCTGCTGCCAAGGGCCTGTCGCCGATGGCTATCGAGGGCGACGCATCGCCGATTCTGGGTCGATGCATCCCCCCATGATGCCAGCCCCCCCCCTAGTCGTTGCCCCTCGAGGTACAAGCAGTACTACCTGAAGTATGCCCAGCTCAAGATGATGAGCGCGTTTTCCACCACCACCACCATAAGTTGGATGGGGCGAAGGGGGAGGAGGAGGAGGAGGAGGAGGAGGAGGAGGAGGAGGAGGGAGGAGGAGGAGGACCCCCCCCTCCAACTTATGGTGGTGGTGGTGGAAAACACGCTCATCACAAGAGCCTCGTGCTGGAGCTGGCGGAGGACGCCTCGCCCCCGCGGAGCCGCTTCATGTCCGCCGAGCTGATGGACCTCGGCGGCCGGCCGGTGGGCCGCTTCCAGGCGACGGGGGCGCAAGCTCGACGAGGGTGGTCGGCGATCGATGGCGAGGAAGCCTCCTCCTCCTCCTCCTCCTTCCTCCTCCTCCCTTTTCCCTCCTCCTTTTTCCTCCTTCCCTTCCTCCTCCTCTCCTCCGCCTCCTCCTCCCCCCTCTCATCCTCCCCCTCCTCCTCCGCCTCCTCCTCCTCCTCCTCCTCCTCCTCCTCCTCCCTCCTCCTCTCCTCTCTCCCCCTCCTCCACCTCTCCTCCTCCTCCTCCGCCTCCTCCTCCTCCCCCTCCCCCCCTCCTCCTCCTCCTCCTCCTCCTCCTCCTCCTCACTCCTCCTCCGCCTCCTCCCTTTTCCTCCTCCCTTTTCCTCCTCCTCCTTCTTCTCCTCCCTCCCCCTCCTCCTCCTCCTCCTCCCCCTCCTCTCCCTCCCCCTCCCCCTCCCCCTCGCGGTCGGCGATCGATGGCGAGGAAGCACGTTTCTCAGAGGAGGAAACGGTACCCATGCCTCTAGCCTCCCCTCGTTTTCCCCTTCTTGGGCCTCCCTGGTCTCCGTCGTCGTCACCGCTGGATTCGCCTCGAAATCCTGGTCAGAACGCACCCCAGGAGAGGTCCGGGGAGTAGCGGCATCGGCACCTCTTGGTCTCCCCATGTGTCGGGTACATAGCCAGGACCCCAGGTGTGGGGACCCCTGGTGATATGATAGGGCTCCGGGGCCCCGAGGTCTGCCAGGATCATTATAGACCAGGTCTGCCGCAGCGGGTGTTTTTCCGGCGGCAGCAGTTCCGTTATCGGGGGCGGAAAAAGAGGGGGGGTGATGACTAGGGGGGGGGGGGGATATCATGGCGTGGGCCATGATATTTCCCCAGATTTCATGGCGCCTCTTCTTATTTCATTACGTTCCTGGCCCCCCCGCTAGGCCGCGCACATGCCGCCGGTCATGATTTGCAGCCCCCCTCTTGGACACCCCCCTCTTGGCCGCTCCCAAGGTTAGTGGACCAGGGCAGGGGGGGCGTCCCCGAGTACATATCACTAAACTAGGTCCCCGTAAGCCCAGTTCTGCCAACGACCGAGTGTTGCTAAATCATCTTCAGATGTCTAACCAATGTTTTGAACACGTCGCAAAACAAGTAAAACATGGTTTGAAGCATGTTGAGAGTATTTGTTTGAAAGCATTTGCTTAACATACGAGGGAAGACTACAGCAAAACGAGCACGGAAGGCACAGCTCAGATTGCTCAGCTCGAGCCCTGCCAGGAGATGCTGCAGGCCGAGCTGAGCAAGGTCAACCAGTTCGCCTGCGTGAAGCACGAGTCGCTCTTCCTCGACCTCCGCCGGTGCTGCGAGGACTGCAAGAGCATCAGGCCAGACGATCTGGAGGATCGGCCCCTCCTCCTCCTCCTCCTCCTCCTCCTCCTCCTCCTCCTCTCTTTTCCTCCTCCTCCTCCTCCTCCTCGTCCTCCTCCTCCTCCTCCTCATCATCATCATCATCATCAGCATCATCAGCATCAGCATCATCATCATCATCATCATCATCTCATCATCATCATCATCATCATCATCATCATCATCATCTCATCCTCCCTCCTCCTCCTCCTCCTCCCTCCTCCTCCTCCCCTCCTCCTCCTCCGCCTCCCTCCTCCTCCTCCTCCTCCCTCCTCCCCCTCCGCCCTCCTCCTCCTCCTCCCTGCCCTCCTCCTCCTCCTCTCTCCCCTCCTTCCTCCTCCTTGCCCTCCTTCTCCTTCTCCCTCCTCCTCCTCCTCCTCCTCCTCCTCCTCTTCCTCCTCCTCCTCCTCCTCCTCCTCCTCATCCTCCTCCCTCCTCCTCCGCCTCCTTCTCCTCCTCCTCCGCTAGAGGTCCGCCAGATTTCTCGGATCGGCGGCGACCTCTGGCGCCGCCCCGGGCTCGCTCTGCGCGCCAGGAGAGGGGGGTCCAGCGCCGACCCAGGAAGTCCGCTCGGACCTCCGGGAGCACGTGTTGACGCCGTGCTTCTTCCACCAATCCGCGTGGGCTCCCGACGGCCTTCTGCCTCTGCGCCGCCTCGGCGCGTGTGGCCCCCCCTCGAGGAGACGGCCAGCCGCATCGACAAGCTCGGCGAGGAGATCTGCCACCTGGACACCTTCGTGAGGCTGAACTACCAGGCCCCGCGCGGCGCGCACGGGGGGGGGGGGGGGAGGAGGCGGCGGAGGGGGAGGAGGAGGAGAGAGGAGGGGAGGGGAGGAGGAGGAGGAGGAGGAGAGAGGAGGAGGGGGGGGGGGGCCAGCGCGAGCGGGGCGGCCCCCTCGGGAGGCGGGGGAGCTCCGCAGGGCAGCGGGGGGGCCTTCGGAGGAGGGCCCCTGCCCTCCCCGGGGTGGCGCGCCTGCCTTCCTGGTGGGCAGGGGGCTGTCGAAGAGGGCCCCTGCCTTCTGCGAAGCACTCTCTGGAAGGCAGGGGCCTTCGAACAACAGGCTAAGGGCTAAGCCATGATCAACATATGGTAAAGAAAGAAAGCAAGAGGTGAAAACAAGAGACTAAAAGAAAGGAGGGCATGGGGCCTTCGACGAAGGCCCCAGGCCCCTGCCTTCTGGGACGCGCGCCGCCCTCCTGGAGCCCCCCCCCCCTCGCGCCACGCTCTTCCCTGAGTTCCGACGCTCGCGAAAGGACGTGACCGGAGCCCTGGGCCCCATCCCCTCGGCATCGCTCGGACGTGTGCGTTCTTTCTCGCCCGGGATCATCGAGGAGCATCCTGGTTCATTCAGCAGACAGGCACGCGCGAAATCGACAAACGCACAGGGAGTGGACGTCCGAGCGATGGCCAGTCCTTGTGATGGCCCAGGGGCCCGAAACCAGAGTGCAACGCCCGGTGCGACAAAGCTGCAACGCCCAGATCTGAGGATTGTGCGCGCCGCCAAACAGCGCCTCCCCTGAGATCCGACGTCGCGACAAACATTGCAACATCGTGCAAGTCCGCGCCCAGAGCCACGGACCCCATCTTTCTGCATCCTTTTTCGAGCTGGACCGAGCTGTGAGGGCCCCGGGACCAGAAAAATGGCGAGAACGCCCGGCTCGAAGAGATTGGGCCGCCAGGATCTCAGGGTCGCGCGCGCGCGGCCGACAGGCCTTCCAGAAGCTCACGCAGAAGTTCGACTCGTGCCTCGGCGTCAGCGGCAGCGCGCTCTTCGTGGCCGGACTGCACTACGAGCCGTTCTGCAACGTCCGCTTCGACGACATCTGCAGCTTCGGAGGGGGGCCGGTCGGGGCGACGGCGGCCTTCCCAGGCGTTTTTGAATGCAGCAGCTGGTTTTTGACTTCCCCCCCAAAAAAAAATCCCAGGCGCTTTTTGGTGCACTCCAAAGCCAGGTTTTTGGATTCAGCGAAATTCCCAGTCGCTCTCGAATTCCAAATTCGAAAAATTTCCCAGGCGCTTCTGAATTCAAAAACAAGGTTTTCGAATTCAAAAATCCCTGGCGTTGTTGAATTCAAGAACCAGTTCTTTGACTTCAAATAGAGTTTTCCGCACTCAGAGACTTGTCACACGGTCACACGGGGCGGTTTCGCCCCGGTGCGGGCCCCCCGGGGCCATCGCATATCGATCGGGTTCGACACTGGCAGCAGAAAGACGGGGCCTGGGCCCCTGGTCCTGCTGCTCCGCGGTTGTTGTGCCTCTTCGCAGCGCAGGGTCTCAGGGCTGGCGTTTGCGTCCCGGCGTTTGCGTCCCTCCTGGGCCTCCTGGAGTTTCTCGTCGCCGCGGCTGGACGTCCGCGCCGACGAGCGCGTCCCGTCGAGCAAGCGAGGCCCGCGAGCGCCGACGAAGAGTTCGGCCCACGGCCGGCCGCCGACCCGCGGTGGTGTCAGGAGCTCTTGGCCACATCTCGGCAGGGGGCGCGCCCGTGCAGCGGACGCTCGGCTCGGGGGGCCTCCGCCGAACGGAGCCTGGAGGAGGAGGAGGAGGAGGAGGAGGAGGAGGAGGAGGAGGAGTAGAGGAGGATAGGAGGAGAGGAGTGATGACGAGGAGAGGCGGGGAGGGAGTCTGAGGAGGAGGAAGTAGTAGGAGGGAGAAGGAAGGAGGAGGAGGAAGTAGGCGGAGGAGGAGGAAGGCGAGGAGGAATGAGAGGAAAGAAAAAAGGCGGAAGGAGAGGAGGGGAAGGAGGAGGAGGTGAGGAGAGATTGAGAGGAGGAGGAGGAGGAGAAGGAGGAGGAGGCGCCGTGCGCCAGGGACCGATCTTGAGAGGATCTGGGCCGGGTGGGAGGATCGCCTTTGTCTCAGCTGGCCCTCCTCCGAGCATCCTGCTCGGCCTCGCTTGGGCCCGCTGGCGCAGCTCGCAGATGGCGGAGCAGAGCAAGGACGCCACGTGGAAGCCGCCGGAAAGCTTCATCCGCAACACCGCGAAGTATTGGGTGCACCCAGACAAGGTCCTTCTCCTCCTCCTCTTCCTCCTCCTCCTCCTTGTCCTCCTCCTCCTCCTCCTCCACCTTGCCCTCGTCCTCCTCCTGCTCCTCCTCCTCCTCCTGCTCGTCCTCCTCCTCCTCCTCCTCCTCCTCCTCCTCCTCCTCCTCTTCCTTGCCGTCTTCCTTGCCCTCCTCCTCCTCCTCCTCCTCCTCCTCTACCTCCTGCTCTCTCCTCTTCTCCTTTCTCTTCTGTCTTGTCAGGCCCGAGCGTCGAAACAATTCACCGCCTCTCGCCCCTCCGCACGTGCCCTCCTTCCCCCGCCCCTCCCCCCGCAGCAGTCGTGTGCTGCCAGAGGTGATCCTGGTCCAAGGTGGCCCCAGCCTTCCCAGAGAGGCCCCGGTCGCCTTCCGAGAGCCCTTCGCGAGGCCCGGGGGGCTCCAGGACGGCGCGAAAGGTTGCGGGCACTTGGGGGCCAGGACCACCTCTGACACGTCATGTTGCACACGAGGGGTACCTTGTCTGTCCCACCGCGCCGCTGTCCTCGTGGAGTCCGCATCGAGTCCATGCCGAACGCGTCGAATCCGCGGCGAATTCGCGGATGCAAGAAGGTACCGCAATTCATTGGGCAGACAAGGTCGCCCAACGAAAAGATGCAACGTAACTTCCGAAGGTCGTGCTGCTGAAGAGCCGCATCGTGAAGCACCTGCCCTACCTCATCTTCGGCGCCAGCGAAAAGGAGCAGGAGAAGCTCCTCGACCCCTTCGCGCTGCTCGACCTCGAGTACGAGGGCTTCGAGCGTCAGTCCGCTGCGAACGCGTACTCTGGCAACATGGAGGAATCGGAGAAGAAAGCATGCACAAAAATGCAGGAGAGGACCGCGGGGATCTCTTCGATCGTCGTTGGACCCCATGGTGGCGCCGCTGGCGCCGCCCCCGGCTCGCGCCGCGCGCCAGGAGAAGGGGGTCCAGCGCCGATCCAGGAAGTCCGCGCGGTTCTCCGAAGTATTCTCCGACCCCTCCCCCTCCTCCTCCTCCTCCTCCTCCTCCTCCTCCTCCTCCTCCTCCTCCTCCTCCTCCCCTCCTCCTGCCTCCTCCCCCTCCTCCTCCTCTCCTCCTCCTCCTCCTCCTCCCTCCTCCTCCTCCCCTCCTCCCCCCCTCCTCCTTCTCCTCCTCCTCCTCCTCCTCCTGTGCCGTCTTGTATTCTCCGACCCCTCCCCCGGCATCCGATGTCTACAGTTTGCTCAATGCGGTGTCCCCAGATGTCCCGGCCTTTTCCCCGGAGGCCCGGTCTCATCCCGGGCCGGGGCGATGTTTCGGCCGTCCTGGAGCCGGGCGAGGGCCCCCCAGGGGCCGAAGACGGCCCGGAACTTGCCGTCGCGTTTGTTTCGCGACGCGAGCATGCTGACGCTGCTTCTGTCCCTCCTCCTCCTCCTCCTCCTCCTCCCTCCTCCTCCGCCTTCTCCCACCTCCCTCCTCCTCCTCCTTCTCCTCCTCCTCCTCCTCCTCCACCTCCTCCTCCTCCTCCTCCTCTTCCTCCTCTCGAGGAGGCGCAGATCCTCAACTCGGTCTACTTCGACAGCCCAGACGCGTCGTCCTACCGAGAGCGCATCCGCCGCGAGGAGGGCGCGCGCCTGGTGCGCTTCCGGTGGTACGGCGAGAACAACTGGGAGCCGGACAAGGAGATCTACGTCGAGAGGAGCCTCCGATAGTTTGGCTCGAAGAAGAAGTGGCATAAGCATACACCGTCGGAGTTCCTCGCTTTAGCTCGAAGAAGACGCATGGCATAAACATAAACTGTCGGAGCTCTTCGCTTCAGCTCGAAGAAGAAGCACGACGTACACAAAAACTGCCGGAGCTCCTCGCGGATTTCCTGTGTCTGCGCCGGAAAGCCTTGGCGGCGACTCCGGCGCCGCCCCCGGCGCGCTCCGCGCGCCAGGGAGTGGGGTTCGGCGCAGATCCAGAAAGTCCCTTCTTGACTGCTCCCTATCCCGATCCCCATCCCGAGCCCCCCCATCACACCACCCCAGTGGGGGATATGCCTCGCGAAGCCCGGCAGGAACGGCTTGCATCCCCCCTGTTCTCATACGCACTTCTCCGAGGGAGTAGAGCTCAGAGGCGATTAATGCGTACGCGCCGCGTCGTTCGGGATTTTTCTGGCCGTTTCGCTAGGGACATCCTCGAAATTCTAAAAACCAGTGGCACCTCTCACACAGATCGTGACGTCAGGGTCCAAAACACATTGGAACTTCAACATGTTAACGTAAAACCGTCAAAAACACATGGTATTTTCAATAATGTTGACCCCGATTCTCAGAGAATGGCGGTTTCGCTAGAAACATCCTCCCAAAATCGAGCCCCGACGTACCTTTGGTACCCCAAACCCCGCCTCGGAGCCTCCCCTGGGCCTCCTGGAACCTCCTGGGGCTTTCTGTACCTTCTGGTACCCCAGACCCCGCCTCGGAACCTCCTGGGGGTCTCCTGGAACCTCCTGGGGCCTCCTGAGGCCTCCTGCGGCCTCCTGGAGCCTCTTGGGGCCTCCTGGAGACTGCTTGGGGTTTCCTGGGGCCTTCTGAGGCCGCCTGGGGCCTCCTGGGGCCTCCTGGGGCTTCAGAACTGCATGGGCACACAGAGACACAAATCACACCCAACACATCACACGCTAGACGAACATAACACACACACACACAACCTACAACGCACAGAAAACACGCACAACACAGAGCACACATCACACACACCCACACAACACTCACAATCCTGGGGCCTCCTGGAGCCTCTTCCGGTATCCAAGTCGGGCCTCCTGAGGCTTCCTGGGGGGCCTTGATACACACATCGAAAGGTGTGGCAACCCCACTTGCGCTCGAGTGCGACCTCGCTATTGCATTTCGCTCCCAGCAGCTATCCTTCTCCTCTTCTCCTCCTTCTCTTTCCCTCCACAAATTGTCTGGTGAAACAAATCGACTGGTGGGAATCGTGCTTGCACTTCACACTTTCGCCTGAGACATCCTCGCGACTCTGGGTTCCCAGATGCCCTGAGCTGAGGTGGTCAGGCCACTTTCGCCTGGGACATCCTCGCAACGGTGACCTCGGAGAGGCATTGCCCTCGTCGATCCTCCTGCTCGATCCCCAATCCTTTAGTGGGGGCTCTTACTCGATCTTAAATTCTACTGCGTTCACCTCCTGCCTCTTCCCCTTCTCTTAGGCACGCCCTGGCGGCGCCGCCCCCGCTTCCCTTTCTCCATCCCCGATCCCGCCGTCATGGTGTCTTCCTGTTTCAAACGCCCTTTCAGTTTTTTTTGTATGAGCCTGGGCACACACGTGCCACTTGTATAGGTGGGTCAATCGGCCAGTGGGGCCCAGGCCACGCCAGTGGGGATAGGGATCGGCTAAAGGATGCTCATAACTGGGCATTGAGAGAACGCCCGCCCAGACAAGTCGGCTGAGGAAATCAGCACGGGTTCACTCGACATTGGCATTCGAGTGTGTTGGCGCAGTCCCCAGTCCGGTTCGTCAATTGACGTGCGTTTCCCTGGATACATTCGGTGGTTTGTGGACGTCGGTTAGCTACCCTGCTTGGGTCCACTCTGAGTGCGGTGCCGTGCGCACGCGGAGTGTTCCTGGCAGTTTTTACCAAAGGTCGTCCTTCTGAAGAGAGTTGTTCTGTCAATCCTCGAAGGAAGATCCACCACGAGGGTTTCTCTGGCGCGAGCTCCGCGAAGGAGCGGTGCATCGTCCCGCAGAAGGACATCTTCGAGTTCATGAAGGGCAGGTTTCCCATCGAGGAGTACTTCGCGCGGCTGAAGGCCGAAGGCGCCGCCTCGGACAAGGCCCTGAAGAACATGAAGGGCATCGCCAACGAGGTGAACACGATGATCCAGGAGAGGAAGCTCCAGCCCATGATCCGGACGTCCTACTACCGCTCCGCGTTCCAGCTCTCGACGAGCAACGAGGTGCGCGTCTCGCTCGACACGCAGATGACGCTGCTCAACGAGTACCGCGAGGGGGGGCACCCGGTCGAGCCCTGGTGCCTGCAGGGCTCCGAGTACCTGACCAAGGACAAGGTCTACCGGTTCCCTTTTGCCATCCTGGAGGTCAAGCTGACGGGCACGCCGGAGACCAGAGGAGGAAAAGGCACCAACACCGCTGCCCTCGACTCGTTGTCGCCTTCTTGGGCCAGGCTCTCGTCGTCACGGCCGGGTTCGCCTCGAACGCACCCTGGGAGGCGTCTGGAGAGTAGCAGTATCGGTGTTTTTGCCGGCTCCCTCAGGAGACGCCCCCGTGGCTTCGCCAGACGCTGGCGGACATCGAGGCGATCCAGGTGCACAAGTTCTCGAAGTTCCAGCACGCCATGGCGTTCCTGCACCCCCAGCGCGTCCCGATCCTGCCGCACTGGCACCAGGACTTCCTGGTCTGGCACGAGAAGCGCATGGAGGAGCAGCGCAACGTCTCCCAGCGGCGCACCGTCTCGCAGGCGCGGTCCTGGCTCAGCAGCAGCAAGGAGTCGTACGACGACCTGACGGTTCCCAAGATGACGACGGCCACCCAGGCGCCCGGGGGTGACGGACACTTGTTGAAGGACATGCAGAATCTCGATCCGAAGGCCGTGTTCGCCAACGAGCGTACCCTGCTCCACTACGTCGAGAAGGGCATCTACTCGTCCGTCCTGGGCGTGGTCCTGCTGAAGCAGGACTCATCCTCGTACAGGTGCCTGGGAGGGACGCTCGTGGTCGCCTCGGTGGCCTACCTCATCTGGTGCCTCGTCGTGTACCAGGACCCGCCACGAAAACAACACACACAGACGCCCTCCGGTGGACTGTTCGTGGGCCCGAGGGGAGGGTGGCCGTGTACATATCACCACCGTGAGCCAGCTACTTTCCACGCCGCCGCCCTCCCAGAATCGGCGTTGGGCCTGGGGGAAAGCGAGGACAAACGGGCCTTCTCAGAAGGCTCGGAAGTCCCCCAGCCTTCCGAGGACGTTCCCATGCCTTCCCCGAAGACACAGACAAATTCTCAGAAGGCGCGAGGGCTTTGAGAAGTCCCGCCGCCCTCCGAGAAGGCATTCTCCTTCACTCCCCCCCCCTCGCTCGCCGCCGACTGAAGGTACATGCAAAGTTCGTCGGAGGGCGTCAGTGTATGAATTGTTCTAGGCCTCCGAGATGGGGTCGGAGTAAATGGGGTCGGAGGATCGCGCCGCATCGCCGATGCATCGGCGATGCGGCGAGATCCTCCGACCCCATCTACTCGGACCCCATCTCGGAGGCCTCTATCGTCGCAGGGCGTCAGTGTATAAATTTTCGTGGCGTGCAGGACCGCCTGGCGCGCATCACCGGCCGCACGGCGGTCGGGAAGGACAGGAGCATGCGCTTGTACCTTGCCCAGGGTCCCTACGTCGTGGGTTCGCTCGTGGCTCTGGTGCTTACCAGTTTGAAGCATATCCCTACCTTAAGTCGGGCATGTCCCTCTACAGGGGGAATATTCAAGACTAGTTGAAAAAGGTCTGGTGGCGACATTTCGTGCCTTCTGGACTATGTGGGACCATTTGCTGATGATATTTACCTAACAGCGAAGACTGATAGGTTTCTAGTAGTCTCAAAAGAGAGCAGCAGATGACTCCACAGGGGGGTCTGGGCGGGTGCCGGACAGGGTGCCGCAGAAGTCGTTTTAAGCTTTTAAGCCAACAGTCACACACTTCGTGCTCTTCGACCTCCCAGAACTCCATTCCCGGGCCACATTCTGAATGCCCGGAGCCAACTGTAGGCCACTTCGTGCTCTTCGAATTCCCAGAACTCCATTCCCGGGCCACATTTTGAATGCCCGGAGCCAACTGTAGGCCACTTCGTGGTCTTCGAGTCCCCAGAACTCCATTCCCGGGCCACATTTTGAATGCCCGGAGCCCACTGTAGGCCACTTCGTGTTTTCGATTCCCCAGAACTCCATTCCCGGGCCACATTTTGAATGCCCGGAGCCAACTGTAGGCCCTTTCGTGTCTTCGATTCCCCAGAACTCCATTCCCGGGCCACATTTTGTATGCCTGGAGCCAACTGTAGGCCACTTCGTGCTCTTCAAGTTCCCAGAACTCCATTCCTGGGCATGATTTTGAATGCCCGGAGCCAACTGTAGGCCACTTCGTGTTCTTCTAGTTCCCAGAACTTCCATTCCTGGGCCACATTTTGAATGCTGAGGCAGGCTGATGCTGCGGCCGAGGCAGGCTGAGGCTGAGGCAGGCTGAGGCTGAGGCCGAGGCTGAAGGCAGACTGAGGTTGAGGCTGAAGCAAACTGAGGCTGAGGCTGTAGCAGGCTGAGGCTGAGGCTGAAGCAGGCTGATGCTGAGGCAGGCTGAGGCTGAGGCTGAGGCTGAAGCAGGCTGAGGCTGAGGCAGGCTGAGGCTGAGGCCGAGGCTGAAGGCAGACTGAGGCTGAGGCTGAAGCAGGCTGAGGCTGAGGCTGAGGCAGGCTGAGTCGTTTTAAGCTTTTAAGCCAACCGTTACACACTTCGTGCTCTTCGAACTCCCAGAACTCCATTCCCGGGCCACATTCTGAATGCCCGGAGCCAACTGTAGGCCACTTCGTGCTCTTCGAGTTCCCAGAACTCCATTCCCGGGCCACATTTTGAATGCCCGGAGCCAACTGTAGGCCACTTCGTGCTCTTCGAGTTCCCAGAACTCCATTCCGGGCCACATTTTGAATGCCCGGAGCCAACTCTAGGCCATTTCGTGGTCTTCGAGTTCCCAGAACTCCATTCCTGGGCATGATTTTGAATGCCCGGAGCCAACTGTAGGCCACTTCGTGCTCTTCGAGTTCCCAGAACTCCATTCCCGGGCCAGATTTTGAATGCCCGGAGCCAACTGTAGGCCACTTCGTGGTCTTCGAGTTCCCAGAACTCCATTCCCGGGCCACATTTTGGATGCCCGGAGCCAACTGTAGGCCACTTCGTGGTCTTCGAGTTCCCAGAACTCCATTCCCGGGCTACATTTTGGATGCCCGGAGCCAACTGTAGGCCACTTCGTGGTCTTCGAGTTCCCAGAACTCCATTCCCGGGCCAGAATTTGGATGCCCGTAGCCAACTGTAGGCAACTTCGTGCTCTTCGACTTCCCAGAACTCCCATTCCTGGACCACACTTTCAGCAGGGGCAAGAGCACGACGAGGAGGAGGACGAGCAAGACCAGGAGGACGAGGACGAGCAGGAGCAGAAGAGGAGCAGGAGGACAGGAGAATAAGACGAAGCAGGAGGAGGAGGAGAAACGAGCAGGAGAGGAGGACGACCAGGAGGAGGAGGACGACCCAGAAGAGTAGGAGGAGGAGGAGGAGGAGGAGGAGGAGGAGGAGGAGAAGGAGAAGGAGAAGGAGGAAGAGGAGGAGAGGAAGAGGAGGAGGAGAGTAGGAGGAGGAGGAGGAGGAGGAGGAGGAGGAGGAGGAGGAGGAGGACGAGGATGAGGAGGAGGAGGGGGGGGGAGAGCACCAGGAGGAGGAGAACGAGGACCACCAGGAGGAGGAGGAGGAGGAGGAGGAGGAGGAGGAGGAGGAGGAGGAGGAGGAGGAGAGAGCACCAGGAGGAGGAGGACGAGCAAGACGAGGAGGACGAGAACGAGGGCGACCAGGAAGAGGAGGAGGAGGAGGAGGAGGGGAGGGGGAGGACTACCAGGAGGAGGAGGAGGAGGAGGAGGAGGAGGAAGAGGAGGAGGAGGACGAGGAGGAGGAGGAGGAGGAGGACGAGGAGGAGGAGGGGGGGGGAGAGCACCAGGAGGAGGAGAACGAGGACCTCCAGGAGGAGGAGGAGGAGGAGGAGGAGGAGGAGGAGGAGGAGGAGGAGGAGAGAGCACCAGGAGGAGGAGGACGAGCAAGACGAGGAGGACGAGAACGAGGACGAGCAGGAGGAAGAGGAGGAGGAGGAGGAGGAGGAGGAGGAGGAGGAGGAGGAGGTGTTAACATGCAAGCATGCGTGTGACAGGGGAGGAATAGTAACCCCGTAGCCATTTTGGCTCAAGTGTTTAACGGTCGAATCCACATCGACCAGTTGTGCCGTTCGGGAGTACAAAGGTGACCTATCGTTATCATTGTCGCCAAGCTCCCGTGCAGAACCCTCCTCGGGGTTTTGCATGGTAGCGGAGCGCGGTTGCCATGGCGGCGGCAGCGGCAGCTGCGGCGAGGCCCGGACAAGGCGACCCGCCAGTTAATCTCAATGTGCCGGCAGACAGAGATGCTTGGGTCAACATGGATCCGAATCGATTCAACGACTTGTGCGAGCAGGCATACGTGAACGGGGACTTCAGTTACGTTCAAACTGCGCTACTCGCAAACCACTTTGGGCTCGCAACGTTCATCAACGAGCGAGTAGCACAGGACCGAAGGGAGGTATCGAACGCCGAAGCATTCCAAATGTTACAAAGTGCCCACAAGACCAACAGCATGCTGTTAGCGATCACGAAGAGAAATGCTGCGCTCGAAAGAGATGCTCGCAGATTAGTGGAAAGAGTCACCGAGTTGGAGACTAACAGTGAAGTACAAGAAAAGTTGATCGAAAGGTTCGGTCAGATCTCGGAAGCAATCAAAGGAGGAAGCGGAAACAAGCACGGGAGCAGTAAACCGATAAGCGAATATAAAGCGCTACAGGCGCTAAAGAACTTCAGTGGGGAAAGGGCGAAGTTCAGAGACTGGAACGACAAATTCTTGAACGCACTAGCCCAAGTGAAGCCGAGTTACCGACCGGCACTGAAAATGCTAAACAAGAAGCTGGAGACGCTTGACGGAGTTGTACCAGAAGAGGACGATGATGACATCATACGCATAACGAACGGTCGATTAACTGCAAGCGAGTACCTGAAGGCAAGTCAAGCCAAGCAAGCCGAGGACGACAACAAAGGCGAATATGAGTTTACCGAAGGAGACAAGACTCAGATGGAAGAAGACTTATGGTACATTCTGAACGAGAAACTTGAAGGTGCGGAGGCCAGAGGAAAATTAAAGGGACTGATGGATGGAGACGGGATCATGGCTTGGCAAAAGGTTTACAAATGGTACTCGGCAGTAACCGGAGCGACCTTATCATCAAAAACGACGCATGCCATGAATCCTGAACCGCCCAAGAAGATCACCGACACCGTTACCCGACTTGAGGAATGGAGCGCATTGGCAGAAAATCTTGAGAAATATGGCAAAGATTACTCGCTGCCTCTTCCTTTCAAAGTCACCGCACTCAGGGCCATAATGGTACACGCGAATGACTGGTTTGACGAATGGCAGCAGGCATGTTGGCGAACGCCTGACGCGCTTAACATTGACTCATTTCAGATATTGTACTCAAAGTGTGAAGACTGGGCGCGTAAAAAGAAACTTGACTCAGATACAAAAAATAAGGATGCAATGGACATTGGGAATATCAACGAGATGAGTCAAGGGTCCGAAAACGTTTGGGACCAAACAGGATGGGTTGACGAAGATGGAAACTGGTGGTCAGAGGATGGATCGTGGAATCACGGGTCCTGGGCCAATGAAAGTGACGGGGGAGAATATGAAGAAATTGACGCCGTAAACAAAGGTAAGGGCAACGGAATGGGCCCCAGGTGTTACAATTGTGGAGGCATGGGCCATTTAGCCAGGAACTGCACGAGGCCCAAGCAGTTCACCAAAGGAGGTAAAGGTGGCAAAGGCGGAAAAGGCAAAGGTTACCGAGCCACTTACGGATCCTATGTGAAAGGTAAGATCGGAGGCAAACAAGGAGGTAAAGGAAGTGGCTCATGGGGAGGAAGCTACGGAAGCCAAGGGAAATTTACCCCGCACAGTGAGCGTGAATGTTACAAGTGCGGCGGAAAAGGGCATATTGCCATTAACTGCCCGGGCTCCAAGAAGACCGCCAACGAAGTTGAGCAAGAAAAGCCTGTAGTAAACACCGAAACTGAACAAACCACCTCGTTCGGTCAACCACAGCACGTTCTCAGCGTTGAGATGAAGGAAGCAATGAACGTGTCGCTACACCAGACTGCGATCGAGGAGGTTAACGAGAAATGGGACCTGCCCTATCACGCTAGAAAGAAGATGGCGCGTGACAGCGCGGTAAACATGAGAAGGATCTATCAGGAACACCAGTACGACGGAGACCGTCACCATACTAGTCAGTGGGATCAAAGAATAAATAAAAGCGTGAGGCAGGAAAAAAGTTGGTTGGCGAAATGCAAGGAAATTGGACTAATCGAGATGCGTGGAGGTGATCCGGAGATTAACGCAGTACCGCCACCAAGTGCAACACATGAGACGATCGTGGTCACCGTGGACTCCGGCGCCTACAACACAGTGGGGCCCCCCAAGGTTGGCACTCATTTCCCCATTACGCATGCGGACGCGTCAAAGCAGGGAAGACACTACAGTGCAGCAAATGGAACCACGATAAAGAATTATGGTCAACGCGTGATCACATGTAAAAATGAG